AAAACACCGTAGCACCACACTGTGGTGCCAACTGTTCGACCAAAAAGAAAAAAACATCAAACACCACTGGCCGCCAGCACCCCACGCCTCGGCGCCTCGGCCTCGGTTCCCCACGCCGAGGATTCCTTCGCACTTGCGCTTTGGCTTTGTGACTCATCAGGTCTTCGTGATGGGCACCAGCCCGCTGCAGAACTTGTTCTTTGGGGATCCAGCCGCCGTGAGCAACCCCGAGGACTGCGGTAAGCCGGAAGCCGCCGGTGTGTGGCCGCTGCAACAAGGGGAATGGCGGTAAACTCGTCCCTGAATTCAGAATTGGCCCAAGCGGAAGAAATCGATCAGCTTTGTTTACACCAGGTTGTGACACGTTGTGGCCACGTAGATGGAGGTGCTCTCCACCAGGCGTGTTCGTTGGCGGGCCGACGTTACGGATTTTGGGTGCTGGCTTTCTCCATCTTTCTCAGGTGGGACCCCCTACTGGATCAGACCACGGGAGATTGTTGCATCGATAAGACAGCAGAGAAGTAAGTCTCCTAAAGAGGTTTATATAATAATATATAATATTATATTGGCTGAACTCCTGCAAGGCACTACAAACGAGAGTTTGTGCATTCAACTCGGATTTGCCTCCTTGACTACTTGGTGAGAGGAACGGCATCGAATGCTTTGGATCCTGGACAAGCTCCAAATGACCAACACTCGACAGCTGGCCGAACGGGAAATTGCCCTCCTGCAGGAGCCAGAAGAAGAGGAGGAAGGGAGCGGCAAAGCCATCAATCCACATGGTCAATCAAAGGATGAAAAAACAGTTATGTTATGTAACGTAGGTTGTGAAGTGGATGAGAGTAGGAGGTTAAGAGGTTAGTATGTTGCTGAATAGCTGCGGCAAAACCAAGCTGCCTGGCTGGTATCTAGAGAGCCCTATCCAGAGTGGCGGCCAGGCGCTGAACATATTGGGATCGAGCTTCATGAACCCATTTCCCCTGTGCCCTGTGGGCTGTGCAGCCCTCAACTCGGTTTTTAGATGTTTTTAGACTTGTATCATTTCATAAGCACCAAATCAATGGAGATGGGTACCCTAGTGCACCACAGAGGCTATTGTGTCGCCAATCGTGTTTGCTTGAGTAGGTCCGCAAATGAGATATATACTCATTGGTTGCAATGGCCTGTGGAGATGCAAACCTGGCAGCCTTGTGCCCTTGGAAGCCCACCCTGAGAGGACATGGAGGATGGAAACTGCGGATGTTGTCATTCCCATGACGTCGAGGATGTTCCGGAGACAACGCCATCGGAGCGCTTCATGAGACCTGCAGATGGCTCGAAACAGGCCTTGCATGTCCAGAAGAAATTGGCGGGGTGGCAAGACTCCTTGTCCTTCCAGGAGAAACTCCGTCAGCAAGCTCCACAAGTATGTGTAGGCGACGTTCATCACGTCCATCACGTTCCATGTTGGGTGGAAACCACCGAGGTCGGTAGAGGAGATGTTTGTCATCCCATGTAGGCCATTTTCCACTTCCATGGTGAGTTCCACTTCCATGGTGAGTCGGGGTGTGCTCCGATCCAGTTCCTGGGCTTCCCAAGACCGAAGACTGCGGAATGCAGTCTTCGTGTTTTCCGTATGGGCCCCAAGTACTTTTGAGATGGTGCTTGCTTGGGGTGGGTTTGGAGGGTCCAAATACCTTTTATAGGTAGGTACTTGGAGCCCTAGGGTATTGCTGTTTTCAATTGAGTTTCCAGTGAGGAAAGCCAAGCTTCACATGGCACGGGCCTTGATCATGAACCCAGAAGTCCTGATCCTGGAGAAGCCCATGATGAACCTGGATGAGGCACGGAACACGAGAATATTTGAGAAGAAGAGAGCTATCAGGAGCGAGTGCAAGGGAGATATGGAGTGTTTGCACTGAATTCCCTATATATAGAAGACTTTCATCAACATGTCTCTTCAACTTTGGAAGCGTAGCTAACTTGGTTTTCGTATGTTTTCGCATCTTTGTACCTCTGGCACCAAGTACGTCCACACAGGAAACGCTCGCAAGAACGTCCACCAGCTTCTGAATGGCCTCAGGAAACGGTCGCTTCTGCCGGCATCGTTCCCTGAAGAGGCCGAATCCGAACGTGTCATGACCGTCCTGCGCGAGTACGTCACGAACCGCGGCGTGGCCCTGCCGGCGCAGAGCTCATCCTTGCGACGGCCCCGGAGCTGCTTCTTCAGCGCGGAGCGGAATACGGACACCTCGGTGGATGCCGTGTGGCATTTTGAGGATGGCCAATGCGTCGAAATGGAAGCTTGGAGTTGAATGCAGTAAGAGGATGGCAAATGGATTCCAAGGTGAACGGTGGAGTGATGCTCATGCATCTTAATGGATCTTAATGGATGTTTACAACACTTGATTACGTATGATTAAGTACTTGATTAATCTTGCTTGTTGGCCACGCTCGAACTTAGATGTGTCTAATTGTATCTATATTGTGTTCTTGTATGTATAAATTACCCTCGTGCCCAACTCCGGGGTGGTCGCCAACCAAATTGACGACTGGGATGGGTGTTTCATTCTTTCACATCACGGCTTAGTGACTGGTGGCTTGCAGATGTTGCAATGTTGCTCCTGTGAAGTCGTCTCTGTGCGATCAAGCCTGTGCGACCCCACACACCCCGGTTTCTCGCGCGTCCAATCAAGCAGTTTTAGAAGGGATTGAATTCCCAAGCTGCACTTGTGGTGCACAAGCAGCCAATCCCAACCTCCGAAGCAGCCAGTACTGGTAGGTCTCAAGAAGCTGGACATTGGAGCCAAGTTGGAGGTCTCAATCATGCAACTGTTGCAGGGTGTTTTGGGAGGGTTTGTTCCTCGGACTTAGCTAAGTCCTAGCGACTTACTTACCCTTATAAGTCAAAGCTAGGCTTAGCCAAGCTTCGCTAACCAGGGTCCGCGCAAGTATAAGTGATCCCCATGAACCCAATTAGTCGAAGGTGTGAAGACCTGAGGGTTTCCTGCACGAGCCTCGTGCCCATGTCCGAGGCTCAGGACTCCAGACCCAAAGCCAAAGCTAGGGTTGGCCCGAACGGCCGACGCACGGTGGCCTTGAATTTGGCCAAGTGACGAGCTAGTTTGAACTAGTGAAGGATTTGAGAGATAGCTGAGTGGGTGCGGAACTGGAGTACTCTTTTGGTGCCGTTTAGCTTGCAACAGATTTTTGTTTAAGACATGTGTAGTTTTGTTTATTTTGACCGCGGACACCCTTGAAAACGAAGCATGTGATCCATAGCTCAGACACTTGGGCCAGACCTAACAATAGAGAGTCCTCACACGCAAGATCGGAAAGAGATGTCCGTAGCACCACAAAGCGTTCCACACCGAACACCGTGGCGAGCTGAGTTGACCGGAATGTCTTCGTCTCACCCTCTACGGGCTCCGTCCGTGGTGAGGATGTCCAGACGCAGAGACGAAGGCCGAAGCATGGACGAATCCAATCGAATCGACTCAATCCAAACGACATCAATATATCAGAACCACGACATGGACTCCAGAACTACCATGTCCTTCAGGTTCTAGATCAATCATCATCAATGTAGGTCAAGTTGTGGTGTAGCCAGATGGAACCTTATGGAACTATGAAATTAGGTAGGGCATGGTGAAACAATGGATGTGGGATGATGTGGGGGTGGTTTGTAGCTGCGCAGCGTTGGAGAATGGGGTTTTGCTGGCTTCATGGCAAGCGTTTCGAAATGGTTCTTGTTTGAAGCCGAGTTGTATTGCATCATCTCATCTCACATCTACCCGCGAGTTGAAGAGAGCAAATCAAAATAACCTGAGCGTTTGGTTCAGCCCCTGGTTCCTGAGAAATGACTTGTGTTGGCAGGCTGAAGTTGAGACGGAGCAAACGAGCCGGCACTTGTTGCTTTGCCCTTTTGTTGATGATGTTTGGTGATTTGTTGAGGACATGGCACTTTTCAACCCACCTGATTTGTAGGTACATACTGGCAGCTCCAAGCATGATGAACAAAAGAGCTTTTCTGTATTCAGTGTGACAATCTGGGACTCCCTGCGTCTAGTCTAGTCGTGTCCTCGGCGCTGTCGTGAATGTCCTGCGCGACAGCCCCTTGAGGACGCCGCCGGTCAATCGCAGTGAAACGTGCCGCAGAAAACAACTGGATACATCAGATTCCCTCACTGGAAAACCAATATTAATGTAGCTGAAGTAGCCTAAGAGCCTGAGAGTGATTTCCAGGGCATTGGGAGGGTCATGTTTCGTAAACTTTGATTACTGGCTACCAGATATTGATCCATAGGTTCAGTCATTCTGGTTCAAATCTTACTGTAAATCTCCAGTGATCTCCAGTGCCATTTGCACGAGATGTTGCACGTGTGAAGGTGTTTGCTTCTTTATGTGATTCTTCCATGTTCTTCCCATATTACGGAATGTTTTATCTTGGTGGTAAGCCTTTTGCAGCTCTAGCTTTAATTCCTTTATCAACCTTAGGATTTACAGGGCCCTGTTTTTACAACCATCACGTTCGGATTGAAGGAGATCGTACCAACCATCATGGCCATTTTGCCATCATTTGCCCATGCCTTGGGTACCTCAGCAGCTTTTCCCGGAAGTCCCGGGGTCACACAGGTCGCATAAGCGTCCAGGTCAGGTCGCTTCGTTTTCGTTTGGATGTTCTGTCCATGGTTCCGATGGTCAAACTGCAGAATGGCAGAATCAACTCCTTTCGGTGTCCTGCATGGTGACCTATCTACATCTGATAGTGATCGAGTATACAAGTTTGGTGTGTCCTATTATTACCTGTAGCAACTATCACTATTTTAGAGAAAGGCCTTTACTAACCATCATCATCCACAGTGTAGTCTACTGGCAATAGGATAGACAAACAGACCCAATGTATAACCATGATTAATTATGCATATGAGTTTTACATACTGTATAAGTATAGTATTGGTTTAAGAACCATGTCCGCCAAAGGAAGCCTTTCCTTTTCCCGAGACCAGCGCGTTCGCTAGGCCGTTCTGCCACAGCAGCCACGGCAGCGGCCATGAGCCGAGTCCGGCCGCTGCGGCCAGCATCTGCAGGGAGTGCAGCCTGACAAAGACAGCTGATAGGTTTTGAGAAAAACCAGCCAAGGAATTTGGAGCATGAGACCTGAGATCATTTGGACCACTTGATGCGGAAGATCATGAACGGGATAAATCAAGGGTGATGTGTTCCAATGTCATGGTGGTCCAGCTCATTGGCAAGCAGCTCCACCGACCGCGAGCATCGGCATGATGTTTGGATGTGTCTTTTTCAGGATGCCATAACCATCCACAACCAGAGCCTTCAAGTGATTTGGCCACTGCGTTTGGACACCACCGAAAACGGCCGTTTGTGACCCTCCCCAGCATCGATTCACGCACCGAAACGCACCGCGGCCGAGCGGAACGGCCACGGACCGAGCTGAGCAAGTCCGAACCAAGTCCAGCAGGTTTGGAGATCACTGCCCCAGAACGATTTTAATGTTGGTCATATGATACATATGGTATCATATGGTATCATATGGTCATATGGTATATGGTCATAGTCAACATCATATGGTCATTTTTTGATACTGCTATGTTGGTTTGAGGGCCATGTGGTCTTCTATGATTCTTCAATGATACTGCCTAGGCGGCCTCCGAGCCGCAGCAAGGGCACCACACGGTGGTCGAAGTGGGGGGCCTCGGAGTGACTAGTCTTCGAATTTGGAGTATATGTATATAAGTGGCTTGAGTTTCCGCATGGCTCAGGGATGGTGTGTTATAAGATGGTTACTTGTGCTCTCTTTGTACATTGTAGGTCCCAGCACGAAAAAGTACAAGTGTCCAAACAGTTGACGATTGGGATTCCATCAATCAAGTGGCATGGACACTGAGAACGACAAGTTTGGTTTGGGAGGGAAGATCGAAATGGTGTTTGGAGTGGATGCGTGGATTGTGGCTCTCGCTCACCCTCTCTCTCTCTCACACTCTCACTCACTCACTCTCTCTCTTTTTCTTTCTTTCTCTCTCGCTCTCTCTCTCTCTCTCTCGCTCTCTCTCCCGCTCTCTCTCTCTCTCTCTCTCTTTGTCTACATTTGCAGGCACATGTGTATACATGTATAATATAGTTATAAATGCATACCTGCATACAACAAGACATAATTGCATCAGCCGTAAGAGTCAGAGTTTTTCAGGAAGAGTGGGTCGTTTAGACCTGATGGCGGTGAAACAGATTGACCAGACATTCACTTAAAGAACTCCACCTTCATTCTTCGAATCATGTCGAGTCTCGGATTCATGAGCTGAGCTGCATCAGGTATTTTCAGGCCTCAGGCTTCAGTCTGAAAAATCATAAAGTTCATCAAGTGCAGCTGAGCAAGAGGACAAGTGAGTCCAGTTTGCAGGATAGTAGTGAACTAAGGGTTCCAAAGACGAACAAGTCATGGAACTCCACGTTTCGATGCTTAATGGCTCTTTCAACTTGAGGAGGTTTTGCATGACATGTCTTTTGGCAACTCGCCTAGAGGAAGCCACTTCTGAGCTTTTTGCCCAACAAGAAGACATCCGGAGGAGCAGGAACCTGCTTTTTCACCACATGAGGACAGGATCCTCGCCCAAGCTTCACCAGACCAAAGCATTTGGCAGATTGACTGTCCATCCGCAGTGTTTGGGCTCCGAACGGAGCGCGGAGCCGTTTTCCCCCCCGCGGACGGCATGGGGCTTTGCAAAAGCAAGGTACCGCGTGTCCAGAGTCGCGAGGTGGATTTCAAGGGAAAGCTCTATGCGTTTCTCGTCACATTAGACGACTGGAAAGCGTTGCTCTCTCGTTGCATGAAGGGTGTCGGTGAATTTGGAGCAATCCAAGACGCGTTTTCAGGTTTGACGCTTAACTGCATTGTTTTGCATCACAGGTTCTTCACGATATGGCGAGCAAGGCCAGGAGCCCCTGGTACTAGTAGCTTCTAGTAGCGTCCTTGTTCCTAGTAGTAAGGCATGTTGAAAGATGAAAGTCACTTTGTTCAGCTTTGCAACCAGTCTGGAGTCTTATTGGCATTTGTGTGTGTGTGCGACAGTAAGGTGTAGTCAATGCAGATCAATCAGTTGATGTTTGGGGTCATTGGCTGCGATCTCAAAACGTCTCAAAACTTTTGGGGGAGCTTCCGTTGCTTCATTCTTCGGAGTTCCTCCAATCAGAGCGCCCGTGTTTGGCATGACGGATGTCTCATTCTTTTGGCTTAAGATCTCGTGGGACCCAACGTAGAGGGACAGGCTACCTGGGATAGGCTGCCCTTTGGCCATAGGAGTGTTCAACCTTTAGCTTGGGGTACGTTTCGGGGTGGAGGTTGAGGGGACTGTTCGACCTCCAACCTTTGGTAAGTCATTATTCACTGGGCTTGAAGACTTACGACATCTATGGCGTCAGCGATCCCCCTCCGAGGCCACTGAACGATGGGAGCTTTTCCCCTCTGCCGGACGAGTTGGCAGATCAGCTGCTTGGGTTGATTGAATGAGGCTTGAAGGCTTACATGGGAGCCCTGATTCACCACTCATTTGTAGAAGATTTTTGGTCTAATTGGTCTAATTACTGAAGGTCTGCCTTGATTCTATGTTGGTGGGGTGCTTGTTTCTGGGCCGCTCGTAGGGGTCTCGTAAGAATTGTTATAAAGATATATCACGAAAGCTAGCTGTAGCTAGCTGGAGTCTGTCTTGCTTTAGCAAGGAGGGTGGGAGCCCAGGACCTGAGTGCTAACACCTGATATATCAGGACCTCCACCCCCCCTCCTCGCGGGGTTCAACTCCACCCTTCTCCTCCTCGGTACCTGCTGCTGCTGTTTGGTCGCTGCTGGTGCTGCTGGCATCTCATCTGCGCCTGGCTCTTGGCTGCTTGCTGGTTGCTGCTGCTTGCTGCTTGCATGCTTGGTGCTGCTGGATGCTCTTGGCTGCTTGCTGGTTGCTGCTGCTTGCTGCTTGCATGCTTGCTGCTGCTCATGCTTGCTGCTGCTCATGCTTGCTGCTGCTGGATGCTCGCTGCCTGCTGCTTTTTGTCTGCTCCGTTTTGCTGCTGTTGCTGGTTGGCTGCTGTTGGTGCTGAAGAAAGCCTATTAGCTGCATTCCCTCTGAGTCGTGAAACGATGCTAATTTCATTATATCCTTAAGAATCGAAGCTTGTACAGGCATGTACCCACCCCACAACCCCCAAGAGTACAAATCAGAATGCACTATCCGCTATCCATGCAGATCAAAAGATGATACTTACTGCACACATGAATGACAGAACCCAGTAAGATGTTTGAACGGGCTGTTTGCTTCACTCATAGTAGTCCGCGTTCCATGTTCGAGCGACAGGGAGCATGCACAAGCGTTGTGACGGAGTCTTCGGTCGCTGACACATGTTCGCATGCAACC